ATCAAAGCAACATTACTATCTCCACATGAGCCAATAAGCTGACCGCTACTGTACACACACTACTGTGTACACATGTTACTGTACACAATTTTTGCTGCTCTTTATTGTCAACTTGGTTAAATTATTTTGTATTAGTATCTGGCAGGCATAACAATTTGAAATATTTTAATTATCAACCAAATGCCTAACTTTAAAGTATTTTTCCTATTATTTTCTTGTCTGCTCATAGAGGCCTTCATGTAATTGATTTCAAACTGTTACGTGCAATAGTAGTTATTACAGCTGTCAGCAGTTTGACATGCAAACGAGGCGAAAGGGTCAATCTGGCATTCTATTGGCCCATTAGCCTCATTTGTAGGCTTGATAACCAGCCGCTGTTTCAGGGAAATGGGCCAGAACGAAGACCTCACTTGAAAGAGCGGCGGAACATCGAGCCTAACTCGTTTGCATACTTTTTAAAAACAAAATAATATTTTACTGCGGGCTCAACTGTAATAACTGCTATTGAAAAGGTCAGGCTGTGGCCGATCACCTTGGCAAGGCTACCAGTGTGTGAGAAATAAATAAAACATATCACAGTGTAAACTCTAGATGAAAGTTGCTCCTGCCCGAGCTCTTGTTCAGACAAAATCATAAAGTAACCTTACATTGTATGCGTTCATCATCCAGCATCGCTTTATGATGAACAAAATTAATGTAGCCAGGATTCACTGGTAAAAATACTGTTAAAAGTTTAGTTACATACATGTATGAAATATTTATACTGACCATTAATTGTGCCTCCATAAATAGATTCACCTCCTGTCCCATTACCTGTGATGAACATTAAAACAATCGTTTATTAGAAAACTTAGATTATATACATGTATAACATGCGCTCTAATTGGCTATGTAACACGGTTATGACGTATCATTGCATTTTGTTGGCTTTATTTTATAAAAGAAATCATAGAAAATGGCCGCTTCAGCCAATCAACTTGTTTACAGAACCTGATGCAAACACTAAACACAAGGGAAAGTTTGGGAGAATATGGAATTCAATTCTCCCAAACTGTTTCTTGTATTTTCATCAGACGATGTAAACAAGAGCACCTTTTTGTATTCCATAAATGTTGTCACGGTTTTTTTATGCATATTGTACATGTATGAATAGTACAATGTGTGGTGTTTTTCGTCCCAAGGCCCAGTTCAGACGCCGTACTTCACATGAGCCGAATCTAATTCGATGAATTAAGTTCATTTGTAGTACGGCATCTGAATCAATTCGAAACGGCTGATTGAATTCGAATCGGCTCAGCCGTTCTTCCCGCCTGGCTCAGCCGGAATAACGGCTGTGGACCGGCTAGGATTCAGACGTCGAACTTCACATGAGCCGAAACAAATGCATATATTATTATAACGTATTTTTCAATATAACAGCAATATTTTTCTCATATTAAAATAAGTTCTGCTGAATTAAGCTCGGCGTCTGAATCTATTCAGCCGGTCTAAATTAATTTGGGTCGGCGGCCTAAATTCGAATTCGATTCGGCTCATGTGAAGTACGGCGTCTGAACTGGGCCTAAGGTACATATATATATACAGGTAAGTATCAACGTGAATGTATAATATAATGTGAGTAAGTGTCAACATGGTAAGGTAAATCCGCACTTGGGCCAAATTAACTGTGCCAACACACTGCCGGAGCTTATCCCGGTTTCAGTAGCATGAAGCTGACTAGGAGTATTGCTACTCCCCCTGGATGGGATGCTAGTCCATCACAGGTTACCCCCAGCATTTTGTCATCGGTACCCATTTACTCCTGGGTGGAGAGTTAAATGTCTTACTCAAGAACACAACTTGAACCCGGACCACTCAACCGGAGTCCAACACACCAACCATTAGGCCACCATGTCTCAAGTGTCACATGATATGAATGAAGTAAAAATATAATATATAAATATGAAAATAATTTGATGGTATATCAAATGTGTACTTTAGACCAATTAGACCAATTAGAATTAAGCCCGCACCTTTGGTGAAATCATGAAATCCTTGATAACACGATGAAATGGTGATCCTTTTATAATGCAGTGCTTTCCTGAAGCCTTACTTAAGGCTTTTCCTCCTATTAAAAAAAAACAAAGATTAATACTGGCTCAATGAGATTTGAGCTGAGGCATTACATGTAAGCCTTTATGTGTTTTCACTTTAGTTATATAAATTATACAAGAAAAAGAACAAGAAATCATATCAAACCAACTGCACTGTATCCCCCTCAGCAGCGTGCAAAGAAAGTCGTGTCCGATAGCCCGGGGCTAGTGGATGTTTTCTGTCGGGCTAGGGGATTCTATCCTTCGCTTGCCCGACGGGCAAGTTAAGATTTTTGGGGCGTTTTAGTTTGTTACAAAAAGTATGAAAATTTAAATTACAGAAGTACTGTAAGAGATCTAAATTTTCTGGTTACAAATTCGTCTGACTCAAGCGGGCGGGCGACTAGCTTTCCTATTAGGGCGACCCGATAAACTTACCGCGTCGCCCAGCCGGCCAGGAAACTTAATTTTTCAGTTCCCACTTTTGCCATAAAATCGTGAATATATTATTTTTTTTTGCAATTGTGTCATGTCGGAGCCGACGCTTGGGCTGTGTGCGCTCGGGAAGGAGGCTGAAAAGAAACATATGCAATATACTTCAGAGGACTGAAGGACAGATACAAATGCTTTCTATTTGTAAGCTTCTTTGGTTTCAAATAAAAAAATATTTTTGTCTATGCAGTCACAAATCATCACTGCGATAAAATATGCAGAAAGCAGCAGGGTAAGATCACGCCATTGCGATTTGCATTCGGATACATGCGTGCGGATAAATCGATGATCGATGATAATCGATAACAATCGATGATAATCAATGCCAATTAATCGATTGATATTGATAATCGATAACAATCGATAATCACAAAATTCTTAGTCATCGATGGGTCATCGATTATCGATATTAATCAATAATTGGCATCGATTATTACCGATTGTCATTGATTTCCATCGATCATCGATTTCATCGATTGTTCAGGCCGGGGAGAAATATGGGCCAAAACGTCAACAAACTCAAGTAAAACAGCCATGTTTGAAATAATCGCCCCATAATGCATCGCAAGCCGTGCAAATCGTTGAATGCATTATGTATGCAAATGATTGTGTCTCTCGTGCTGAATTTATATGACCGCCAAACATTTTTCTTATGGACAAACCTACAAACCAGTTTGTAACTTTGGAGGTAAATTAAACCATAAAACATTACAATACATGTACTACTGTAGTCATCAATAATTTAGGAATTGACTTTTTCCTGAAAGAAAGACGACCGTATGATGAACACTGAATTATTGTACCAATATGTTAACATTATCTTACCAACTGGTGAACTGTAGTTAACTTACCAAATACAAATGATATAATTTTATTCTAAATTAAGGGATTAATATTAATTAATTATTAATAATTAATAATTCATTAATCAATTCATTAAATAAATTAATTGAATAATCGCGCTACTGAGATTTTTTTTCGGGCTAGTGAGAATGACTTTCGGGCTAGTACATCCTAGTTAAAGCTTGTCTTTGCACCCTGCCCTGGTTACAATAATAGCCGTTATGCATGTTTAAGTCAGACTAGTTTCGTTTTCGCTGCCATCAATCATTTTATCGGACCTCTCTGGAAACAGAAGTTCACTTCAGTGGGTTCAAAGGTCACATCCATGGGTTGTGATTGGTGGATTTCAATCCATTTTGTTTGATTCTTTTTGTCACGGTCTGTTGGTCGGCAGCGAAAAATGCAATCATACAGTGTAAGTTGGTTTTGAACTTCAGAGGTGCGTGTTTAAGTGAAGGGCTCAGTAACCACGCCCTTGCATCTTTCCTTTTGTTTCCAGTCAGTGACTTCAATTAGATCAATAACAATTATTATTATATGACTGAGAAAATTACTTCATTATGATTGGCTGAGAGCAGGCAAATTGATCATTCATTTTTAATTTGCACTGCAGGGCAGATTAATGTGGGTGCGTTCGTAATTCTCTCAGTCATATAATAAATGAGAAATCATATGAAAGCTCAAGCAATTAAGGATTTATATGTACACTACTCGTGATATTTGAAAATTCTTTCAAATTGAACTCGCCTAAAGGCTCATGCACTTTTGAGAGAATTTTCAAATTTCACTTGTAGGGTAATTGCACTCGCATTCATTACGATTACCAATACTTATTAGATACTAGTTGTTATGGGTAAACACCTGTCAGTAAATCAATGGAATTTTGCTTGACTCCAAAATTTAAAACCGGGAGGGGGAGGGGAGGGGGGAAATAGCCGCGAGCATTATGATGCCTTTGGATAAATTGAAGGCCTCATGAAAAATATCATGGAAATTTGAGCAAAAAAAAGTGGTTTAAAAGTCAACATCAGGTTCTGTAATTACCTTGGCTCTACATTATCAATGATTTATTTTGGTATCCTATGTGGGAAACATGTGGATGACACAGATAACACAAACCTCAACCTTGACAAATTTATTATCACTATCATGCTCAATCTCAATCCAATTGTTTGCTAAATTAATATTATGCAATCAAAATCACATTCTCCTCACCTGATACACAAGAGCTCTAAAGTTATTGTCACAAGTCCTTAGGACAGATATCAGGCAAACAAACTCAAAAATAACCCTGCCAACTGGGAAGAAAGACGTAAAAGGTAAAGTGTTTAAAAGTCAACATAGGTAAGGTAAAGGTAATTTAGCTGGCACTCAGGCCAAAACTGACCCACACAGCTGCTGGAGTTTACATGTAATACTGGTTTCCATAGCACCCTGGATGGGATGCAAGTCCTTCGCAGGTTTCATAACCCCCAGCATTTTTTGTCAGGGTTTCCCTTACAGTTCACTGGTACACCCATTTATACTCGGGTGCATAAACAAACATGTCACAGGTGTATAAACTCACAATTGACCGTGCGTCCCTAATGTAGTGGCCTTTCATAGCTCAGTTGGTAGAGTAACGCACTAGTAACGCGGAGGGTCATGGGTTCAAAATCCCGTTGCAGCCAGAATTTTTTCTGGCTTAAAAATCAATTACAGTTGAACCCCGCTAATTCGAACTCGGTTAATTCGAATTCCCCGCTATTTCGAACTCAAACCCATTTCCCT